TTAAAGTGCCCCTATTATGCCATTTTTAAGGTTGCTAATATTGTTTTACGAGTCTCCTAAAACAGGTTTACATGCATGCAAGGTAAAAAAAAACGTTAGTTTTCTCAAAAAATAGATTTAATTTTACCTCATTTCTAAATGATTCGTAAATGACTTGTTCGAAGCATTTCAAAGAATCAGTCTCTCTAATCCCTTCCTTTCCGTGAGCCCTCACTGCTGTGATTGGTCAGATGCCGCAGTCCTTTGTGATTGGTCCAGAGCTGTAGAGAGACTGGCTCTGGATTGGTCTACCGCGTACAGCGCGTGTCGGAAACGAAACGCCCATTGCCATGACGGAATTACAGCCCTGGAGACTTGTCAATACATAGAAAAGATGGTATCGATTGTACCTTACCAATTCGAGCCGGAGACTGATGATGAAACGGTTGAAGTGGCTGATCGACAAGAGACTGATTTGGAAGCACGACTGGAGCAGGCCGTTTCTCAGTGGTAAGTATCAAGTGTTAACAGGTTTGTGGTAATCATAAAATGTGATTAAACAAATTTACTCTCACAGCGTAGGATACAGCGTCTTCTCGACATGATGTTAACCACGCGGAAATTTTACTGTTTGTGGGCGGGCAAGTGTGCCACGAAGAACGTGGGCAGACATTATGCAAATGTTTTACTTTGTGACGTAGAGCCGTAACGGAATAAGATTCGAATTCCTGACGACTTGTTTAGGCGATTGTGAGCCGACTCTTTTTTTTATATATACAATACCTTTATATATCGTGCACTGTCGGCTTCACAACTTTGCAGATAGTTTATGTTCACATACAGCTACATGACACACTGCATGAAAGGTAATATTCAAAAAGGCATAATAGGGGCACTTTAAAGTAGAAAGTCGTTACTATGTAGCAGCCTTAAAAATCAGTGGGTGATTTTTTTCTTCTCTAAAATGTGATTAAAAAAATAAATAAAAAATACAGCACTGCACAGACCTTTCTCTGTATGACATCAAAGTATGGCAAGAGCGATGATGTCAAATAAATGTTGCGGTTTTGCTTTTTTGTTAAAGTAGTGTTGCTTTTGTAAAAGTATACAGCTACAGTTGTGTTGCTGGGTTTTAAAGCAGGTGTGATTTTTTTATCAATCTGGATTTACAGCAATTTCACTGTCCACTCAGTTCTAATGTGGATGAATGGCTACACGTAGATGTGTGCACACTGCCAGAGCTGTGTGAGATCACTACCATCATGTTTTTTTGGGGGTGGCTAGGGGTGTTAAATAAAATTGTTTGGTAACACTTTAGAATACTGTTCTGTCATTAATAAATAACTAGTGTGGTGAACTACCACTTTCAATTGAGTGCTATTACTTATTAAATCATTAATCAGAGTTTCTTGTTAGTTAATAGTAGTTACTAGAATGTTATTAGTGCATTAGTCATTTGTTCCTGTGTAGTTATTAACATTCTAAAAGCTCTTTATTCCAAAGACACTACAAGCTAGTCAGTGTATTCAGTAGGCATAATGTATTGTAAGATGCTTTAGAGGCATAAGGTATTGCAAGTATTACATACAACAATAATAAAACAGTGCGTTGACATAAAAAAAGTAAATTTACATTTGGTACTTAAGTACTTTTAAATGCAAGTACTTCTGTACTTTTACTTAAGTAAAAATCTGTCTTTACAACTTTCATTTGTAATGGAGTAATATTTGACCAGCAGTATCTGTACTCTCACTCAAGTAATGGAGTTGTGTACTTTGTCCACCTCTGCCAAAAATGCATATTAAAGAGCCAGTTGATTGAAACGCTATGAAATACAAGCACTGCTAGTGCATATGTTAGAGTGACCAGACGTTTTTTTTGGTGTCCTGTCCACAGAAATTTCCCTTTTTACAGCACTTTTAAAACACCCCACAAATGCACAGCAAACACAATTATTATTATTATATTTTTTTCAAATTACATGTTTTTGGTTTATTTTTGTAAATCTGGTTATAATAATATTTTCACCTGTATGCTTTTTGTGATTTTTGGTGAATTAAAATCAGCCAGGGTCAGTTTAAACCACCAACATCGTGATAATTATTAATTATAACAACAGCATTATGAAAACCATATCAATCCCCAGTTTTTAATTGTATAACAACATAACAAGTAAGATTTAAATATTTTGACCACTGAAATAGGAAATGTTCCTGGTTTTCATTTCAGAAGTCTGTTCACCTCAACACGTTTACTGGTATTGAAACAAAAATACAACATACAAACATATTTTACAAACAGCCTTAAATTGTATGACTCTTTTGAATCAGTTTTACATGAACATTAAGAAAGGTTACTCAAAATATAACCTACTACACTAGGATCAAAGCTATTTTTATCAGTAATAAATACGGATGTTCGCAGCACTTTTCTGACTAGATTTGACATTTAAATTAAAGATATAGTGGGGTTAAATAAATAAAAATCGCACCTAAAAAAACT